GAGTTCGGGCAAGGCCCCATTTGAGATTCTCTATGGCAGAAAGTGTCGTACTCCTCTAAATTGGTCAGAGACTGGTGAACGCTAACTTCTTGGCAATGACTTAATCACAGAAGCTGAAGAAATGTGTAAAGTCATCCATGAAAATCTGAAAGCCGCGCAATCTCTCCAGAAGAGTTACTATGATAGCAAGCACCGTGACTTGGCTTTCGAGATCGGAGACCATGTCTACCTCCGCGTCTCTCCAATGAAAGGTACTCGTCGCTTTGGTATCAAAGGGAAGCTTGCCCCTAGATATGTGGGTCCTTTCAAGATCATTGGCAAAAGAGGCGATCTCGCCTATCAACTTGAGCTTCCATCCAACTTCGCAAATGTGCACAATGTGTTTCATGTGTCATAGCTTCGCAAGTGCTTCAAGACTCCTGAGCGCACCATCAACTTCGAAGAGATTGATCTCCAAGAAGACCTGTCTTATCATGAGCATCCCGTAGCTATTCTTGAAGAAACCAAGCGCAGGACTCACAACAAGTCTATCAAATTCCTGAGAGTGCAGTGGTCACACCATTCCGACCGAGAAGCCACCTGGGAACGCGAGGACCACCTCCGTTCCGAATATCCAGAGTTCTTTCAGTCCTAGATCTTGGGACGAGATCTTTTCGTAGTGGTGGAGTGTTGTAACACCCCGGATGTAACTTGCCATATTTGTAACTCCGACTCTGCCATTTTCAGCTTTAAGTTATGAGAATTCCCTTCGTGGTTGGGTTTTCTCTTTGTTTTGCATTTTGTTCATGTCATGCATTTCATATCATGTCATCATGTGCATCTCATTTGCATACGTGTTCGTCTCATGCATCCGAGCATTTTCCCCGTTGTCCGTTTTGCAATCCGACACTCCTACGTGCACCGGCGCACCCCTCTTGCCTCTTTTCGTGAGCGGGTGTGAAACATTCTCGGAATGGACCGAGATTTGCCAAGTGGCCTTGGTACACCACCAGTAGACCGCCTGTCAAATTTCGTGTCATTTGGAGTCCGTTTGATGCTCCAACGGTTAACCGGGGAACCATAAAGGCCTCTTGTGTGTTGTGGCCCAACACCCCTCCAAAACGGCCCAATAACCCATCCAAACCTCTTCCATGTCCTCCGCCGTCGGATCACGATCGCGTGGTTGAAAACTACACCTCATTTGGACACTCCTACCTCATCCTAGCTATAAATACGTGCCCTCCCCGAGATCCTCGCGCAGATGAAACCCTAAAAAATCGCTCCCGCCGCCACTGGACGAATCGCCGCCGCGCCTGCACCACGGGCGTGCCGCCACGTGTCAAGCGCCGCCGCCACCCGCCATGGCCCGGAGAGCCCGTGTCCGGCCTTCCGAGCCCGCGCGCCGCCCGTCACCTCACCCGCTTCCCCGCGCGCCGCCTTCTCCGCCCGCGCTCGCCCGCCGCCTTCATGCCGTCACCGGTGACCAACTCTGGCGATCGGAGCCCGTCGTCCTAAGCCGCCATTCGCCACCGTGGATCTCAGATCCGAGCTCGTCCGTGCCCCACCGCGGCTCCCCGTTGTCGCCTGGCCCCAGATCTGGCCCCGCCGGACCGGGATCCGCCGTCACCGCGTCTCCGGCGAGCGCCCCGCAACTCCGGCCGCCGTCCCCGTCAACTCCGGCTTGGCCTCGACTTTTGTGCTGCGACGAACCCTAGATCCGCTCCGTTGACCACTGTTCACCCGAGGTATATATTTCCACTAAGTCTTTATCTCTGCAACATTTTCAGGCTCTGTTCAACGCACCATAACTCCATGACCGTAGCTCCGTTTCATGTGCATGATATATCAAAATGTTCATTGGGAGATGCTCTTCATTTCATTCCATTTTGGCATGCTTTTTTGAGTTCATATTGATGCATAAATCACTGATGCAAGAGTGCTATAAATATTTGCTGCCGCTATTTATCAGTTTAGGGTGATTTGTCATTTTTGTCACATTTGTTGTGTGCTTCATACGGGCATGAGCTCTACATGTGTTTTGATCTATGACATGCCATCTTTGCATAGGTGCTTGCCATGTATTTTTGTGATCCTTGTGGTGACTAGCACAAGCATGCAAAGTAGCCTTCATGATATTGCTGATTTCAGGGACTTAGGATTTTGCTAAGTCCTTGTTTTGTTGTTATTCTTATGCCATGTAAACATGATGCTACAGAGTGATCCATGCTTGTTTTGAGTATCTTCAGTAAGGGTGTTTTGGACATATGGTTATTCTCTATCCATCCATGCCCATGTTTGAAATTATGGAGTGCCCTAGCATGTCTTAATCTTGCTCTACTTTTGCTATAAAATGTTCCTGGCAGATTGTTTACATGTTAATCAATTTTGCCATGGTTGTTGTAGTTGATCCATGCATGCTATGAACTTGCTCTTGCCATGGTTAGGTTCATCAACATGTCTTATTGCTGATGTATGCTTAGTTTGTCATGCAAGGCTTTGTGATGAGTGATTTGAGCTCGCAAAGATGCCTTCATAACTATGTTTATGACATGCTCAGTTTTCTGCTAAGTCTGAAACTGTTAATAAAACTTGCTATGTTTACATGGGTGCCATCATATCTTCTGTGCCTTTTTGGCTCATGATCAGTAATGGACTTTCGTTCCATGCATGTAGTAGATTCATGACATGCCTTGCTTTGCTATGATATGTTCATGTAGCATGTTGTTTGCTTGCTCTAAACATGGCTTCCCGATGTTATTTTCTGGCATCGATTTTGACCGAATTCATCTCATCTTTCTAGCGGCACACTTGGTTTGCCAAGTTGATGCCTTGTTCATTCTTTTCCTTCCGGAGCATCATATGCATTGCATATCATGTCTTGCATATCATGCCATGTTCTGCGTCATGTTGCTTATGCATTGCACCGTGATTGATTGTTGGTCCTTTGCTTGTGTTCTTGCCTTGGGTAGAGCCGGGAGACGAGTACATGATCGAGGAACCTGTTGAGTACGCTAACAAGGATCAAGCTTTTGTCAACACTGAGAACTTTGCAGGGAAGATGACCATACCCTCGAAATCACTTCTATCTTTGCTTGCTAGTTGTTCGCTCTATTGCCATGCCGCGAAACCTACCACTTGCTATATCATGCCTCCCATATTGCCATGTCAAGCCTCTAACCCACCTTTCCTAGCAAACGTTGTTTGGCTATGTTACTGCTTTGCTCAGCTCCTCTTATAGCGTTGCTAGTTGCAGGTGAAGATGAAGTTTGTTCCATGTTGGAAGATGGATATTGTTGGGATATCATTATTATATCTTGTTTACTTTAGTGCATCTATATACTTGGTAAAGTGTGGATGGCTTGGCCTTATGCCTGGTGTTTTGTTCCACTTTGCCGCCTTAGTTTTCGTCATACCGGTGTTATGTTCCTTGATTTTGCGTTCCTTACGCGGTTGGGTGATAATGGGAACCCCTTGACAGTTCGCCTTGAATAAAACTCCTCCAGCAAGGCCCAACCTTGGTTTTACCATTTGCCACCTAAACATTTTCCCTTGGGTTCCGCGGACTCAAGGGTCATTTTTATTTTAAACCCCCGGGCCAGTGCTCCTCTAAGTGTTGGTCCAAAATAGAGCCCCTTGCAGTGCCACCTCAAGGAAACTTGAGGGTTGGTTTTAGTTGTACGGATTGCTTATCCGATGTGCCCTAAGAACGGGATATGTGCAGCTCCTATCGGGATTTGTCGGCACATTCGGGTGGCTTTGCTGGTCTTGTTTTACCATTGTCGAAATATCTTGTAACCGGGATTCCGAGTCTGATCGGGTCTTCCTGGGAGAAGGAATATCCTTCATTGACCGTGAGATCTTGTGATGGGCTAAGTTGGGACACCCCTGCAGGGTTTGAACTTTCGAAATTCGTGCCCATAGTTATGGGCAGATGGGAATTTGTTAATATCCGGTTGTAGAGAACCTGACACTCAACTTAATTAAAATGAATCAACTATGTGTGTAGCCGTGATGGTCTCTTTTCGGCGGAGTCCAGGAAGAGAACATGGTCTCGTGTTATGCTTGAACGTAAGTAGCTTCAGGATCACTTCTTGATCACTATTAGATTCTCGACCATGCTTTACTTCTCTTCTCGCTCTCTTTTGCGTAAGTTAGCCACCATATATGCTAGTGCTTGCTGCAGCTCCACATCACTACCCTTTACTACCCTTAAGCTTAAATAGTCTTGATCTCGCGGGTGTGAGATTGCTGAGTTCTCGTGACTCACAGATACTTCCAAACAGATGCAGGTGCCGATGATGCCAGTGCAGGGGATGCTACCGAACTCAAGTGGGAGTTCGACGACGATTCGGGCCGTTACTATGTTTCTTTTCCGAATGATCAGTAGAGGAGCCCTGTTGGGGCGATCGGGGATCTAGCAATTGGGGTTGTCTTTCTTTATTTTGGTTCCGTAGTTGTAACACCCCAAATGTGAAACTTCCCTTTTTGGGCAATATATCCACTTGGTCTATTCCAATTCCTTTGGGTTCCTTTTTTGTTTTTATTCGTTGTTTTACTTTTTGCTTTGTCTTGTCATTTATAGTCATATTTCACTTTGCCATTCATTGGTCCTGTTTGGTTCGGCTGTGGATTTCTAAATGTAGCTGTGAAAAAACTGTTGTGGAAAAACAGCTGTGGAAAATCTGATGCGAACAAGATGTAGGCCATTTGGCAAACCAGCTGATACAGTTTTTTTAGATTTTGGCCCGCAGCGGAATCAGATTTTGGAAAGCACGTCCTGACCTGCTTCAGCTTTTGGTTCAGATTTTGGCAGCGGATTTCTGAAATTGGATTCTACTGGATTCGCCCTTTGGTTTGGATTCTGCCGCGCTCTGTCGATAAAAGCTGAACCAAACAGGGCCATTGTCGCATCATGGCCTCATCATGTGTTTGCTTTGTGCTTGGTGTCTTTGTGCATATCCCCATCTTCATGTGCATCTTCATATGGTAGCATATTGCATTGTGACATGTTTCTATGTGAGTCATGGCATCATCTTCCCCCCTTCACTCATCACCACCTCTCCTTCTCTTTCTTTCTTTTGGCAAGTGCCATTTTTCACTCCCCCATTAATGTTCATCTTCTCCCTGTAAATCCTACACCATGTCAGTAACCACCCTGTTAAATTTCGGCCCAGTTTGGTTTGATTTGGTTGGGTTTAAAAATGGCTCAAGTTTGAATTTAATTCAAACTTGAGTTATTATTTTTCTACCTCAAAAATTGCCAAACCATTTTTTTAAAATGTGCATATTTCCAGGACTCCACACATATATTCTTATCTGTCAAATTCCATTCCTGCCCATCGACTCTTTTTCTCCAAGTGCTTTCTGTTCTAGAAAATGAGAAAGGAAAGAAATGAGAAAGAGAGTAGGAGAGAGTAGCCCAGCAGGCCCCTGGTCGTTTTCCTCTCCACTGGGCCGGCCTCCCAAGGCCCAGCCGCCCCTTGGCACCTAGGCCAGCCCGCACCTAAACCTAACCCTCTCCCCGACCGAAACCTCTCCCTCTCGATCCCTCCCTCGCACCTCGCGCCGCCAGGAGAGGAGCGCACCGCGCTCGACCCCCTCCTCTCGCCCGTGACCCTTTCTCCCTCTCGATCTCTCCCTCACTCGCTACCTCTCCTTCCCTTCGTCCAGGTCGAGCTCCTCCGCCACCGGTTCCTTGGTCGTCGTCGGAGGTTGTCCATGGAAGCCGCGGCCTCGGTTTCTTCTCCGCGCTGCTCCCTCCAGCGCCGCCTCCTCTGCGTCTTTCCCTGTGCACGATCCCAACAAGAGAGGAGCTCCCCTAAGCCGGCGCCGTGCTCCTCCAACACCTGGCCTCGACAGGAGTCGCCCCTGTCGGCAACCAGCACCACCACCAGGCTACCCTCTCCTTTCCCTGCGCAGGAGCTCGCAGCCACCACCATGCGCCGCCATGTCTCCCCTGCATCTGCTCTCCGGCAGCCCGTTCGACCTCCTCTGCCTCGCTGGCCTCCAGCGTTGACCGAGCGCCCGCGCAACCGCGTGCGTGGTTTGCTTCTGCTGCAAGGCCTAGCCAGCGCCTTGTTGGTCTGCCTCCGCTCAAGCTGCCGACCATCTCGTGCGGCTGACCACCACCATCGCCTCCTTGCTGCTGGCATCCCGAGGCCCCTGGCATTGTTTTGTGTTGGACGCCAAGACCGGCAAGTTCGACTACAGGGACACCAAGTACCACGACACTGAAGACCCGAACTCCATCAAAAAACGAGTACTCGATGACCCCAGGACGCACCGAGTTCCGTTGAAAGATGTTCAACTACATCTGATGTGGATTTCGACGAGTACCACGACGCCCGAAGCCCTCGAATACGTCAAGTTTGACTACACTGCGAGACGAAGAATGCTAAGTACCTCTCCGAAAACGAACTTGTAGCACTACGCCCGGAGGCATCGGATCCGTCAAGTCCAAAGACCCTTAGTACCACGACAACCCTGAAGGGTTTTGTATTAGTCAAGTTCACCTTCGAAACGTGAACCACTACCATTGACCCGTAAGGACCCCGTGGCGTCAAGTTTCGTGCCGTGACCTCGAACACCTACGGACATGAACCACTATTTCCCTCGACGACCCGTGAACGCCTACTCCCTCTACTTTGCACCGTACCCTAACCGCTCCGAGAACGCATTCTTTGAAGGTATAACCCCGAGACGACCGTCCGAGAACGATTGCTTGTGTTGTATGAGATGCACCCTTTGTCTGCACCGTGTCCGTAGTGTCTCTCGCTTCCATGCCATCGACTCTTGGGACACCTGGTATCCGGGAGCGCCCCATCATCTTTTGCACGCATCCGCACACTTCTCCTTTGCATCGGAATCTCGATCGAGTTACCGTAACTGGAACGTTGTCGTGGCACCGTTTTCGTTATCGTTGCCGTGGCACCCTTTTTGTTTCCGCCATGATGACAATGCTCATGTCAACATTTTCAGAAGTTGCATAAAAACTTGAACATGTCATCCGCATCATGATAATAACATTTAAAATGTTTAAAATTGTTGTTGCATTAAACTGCTAATGCACATGAGGATATGCCGGAATTGTTGTTTGATGTTTCCGGCCTCATTTAAAATGCCTAACTATGTATTCTACTCATGTTTCATCTCTTGCCATGTTTAACAACATTTAATATTGTTGAGTACATAACCGAGAGGGAACTAAATAAGTCATGTGGTATTCCGTCAATATGCAACTCGTTGCATATTGAGCTCCACTTAATTTGTAGTATTGTTTGTGCACTTTGCCATGTCATGCATATTTAAACCGGACATGCATCATACTTGGTTGTGCATCATGCCATGTTATGCTTGGTGGTTTACTATGTTGCTTGCTTCTTTCCGGGTTGCTTCTCTCGTTAGCTTCGATTTCGTTCCGGAGTTGTGAGGATTCGTTCGACTACGTCCGCTTGTCTTCTTCATGAACTTGTTCTTCTTCCTTGCGGGATCTCAGGCAAGATGACCATACCCTCGAAATCACTTCTATCTTTGCTTGCAAGTTGTCCGCTCTATCGCTATGTCGCGCTACCTACCACTTGTTACATCATGACTCCCATATTTCCATGTCAAGTCTCTAACCCACCTTCCTAGCAAACCATTGTTTGGCTATGTTACCGCTTTTGCTCAGCCCCTCTTATAGCGTTGCTAGTTGCAGGTGAAGCTGAAGTTTGTTCCATGTTGGAACATGGATATATTGGGATATCACAATATCTCTTATTTAATTAATGCATCTATATACTTGGTAAAGGGTGGAAGGCTCGGCCTTATGCCTGGTGTTTTGTTCCACTCTTGTCGCCCTAGTTTCCGTCATACCGGTGTTATGTTCCTTGATTTTGCGTTCCTTACACGGTTGGGTGTTATGGGGACCCCTTGACAGTTCGCTTTGAATAAAACTCCTCCAGCAAGGCACAACCTTGGTTTTACCATTTACCTCACCACCACCTACCCTTCCCTCGGGTCGGCCAACCCGAGGGTCATGTTTATTTTAAGCCCCCCAGGCCAGTGCTAGTCTAAGTGTTAGTCCGAACCGAGTAGATTGCGGGGCCACCTCGGGGAAACCTGAGGTTTGGTTTTACTCGTAGGATGTCTCATCCGGTGTTGCCCTGAGAACGAGATATGTGCAGCTCCTATCGGGATGTCAGCGCATCGGGCGGTCTTGCTGGTTTTGTTTTACCATTGTCGAAATGTCTTGTAACCGGGACTCCGAGTCTGATCAGGTCTTCCTGGGAGAAGGAATATCCTTCGTTAACCATGAGAGCTTGTGATGGGCTAAGTTGGGACACCTCTGCAGGGTTTTGAACTTTCGAAAGCCGTGCCCGCGGTTATGGGCAGATGGGAATTTGTTAATGTCCGGTTGTAGAAAACTTGACACTTAACTTAAGTAAAATACATCAACCGCGTGTGTAGCCGTGATGGTCTCTTCTCGGCGGTGTCCGGGAAGTGAACACGGTTCCTGTGTTATGCTTGAACGTAAGTAGTTTCAGGATCACTTCTTGATCACTTCTACTTCACAATTGTCGCGTTGCTTCTATTCTCGCTCTCATTTGCGTATGTTAGCCACCATATATGCTTAGTGCTCACTGCAGCTCCACCTCATTACCCTATCATACCCATAAGCTTAAATAGTCTTGATCTCACGGGTGTGAGATTGTTGAGTCCTCGTGACTCACAGATACTTCCAAATAGTTGCAGGTGCCGATGATACCAGTGCAGGTGACGCAACCGAGCTCAAGTGGGAGCCCGATGAAGATCTTGTTCGTTAAGTTGTTTCGTTTCCTGTTGATCAGTAGTGGAGCCCAGTTGGGACGATCGGGGATCTATGCATTTGGGGTTGTCTTTAATTTGGTTCCGTAGTCGGACCTTGATTGTATTCTGGATGATGTAATGCTATATTTATGTATTGTGTGAAGTGGTGATTGTAAACCAACTCTTTATCCCGTTCTTATTCAGTACATGGGATGTGTAAAGATTACCCCTCTTGCGACATGCCTACCATGCGGTTATGCCTCTAAGTCATGCTCCAACACGTGTAGATATAGCCGCATCGTGGGTGTTACAAGTTGGTATCAGAGCCTTCCCCGACTTAGGAGCCCCCTGCTTGATCGAATCACTGACGTTGTTGAGTCTAGAAAAATGTTTTGAGTCTTATAGGATTATATATATCGGAGAGTAGGATTCTTTTTACTCTTCAGTCCCTTCGTCACTCTGGTGAGGCCTCCTGGCGTAGAGGTTTGACTCTTCTCTTCTCAAATTTCATGAAAAAAAATTAGGATCACGCGAGTATCTTGGAATCGTTCCGATGGTTTTGTGACGAGAACATTGTTCTTGGTGCCTCCTGACATTTAGGGGTTGTGGCAGTGTCCCGGGGAGTTGAGCTCCAAGGTGTTATCGTCACAATTTTATCGTTGCAGTTCTGGAATACCTGAGTTCGCTGACATCGAAAATCTCTTTTATGCAGTTGTTGGTGAGATAACCTCGACGCCACCCAGTACTGGGGCGGGAGTTCGGGAGTATTGCCATAACTCGTATAACGGATGTGATACGTCTTCAACGTATCTATAATTTTTGATTGCTCCATGCTATATTATTGTAACACCCTCGATGCGACTATAGCTCCCACGTGTCGAGGCACGACTTAGAGACATAATCGCATTGAAGACATATGTCGCAAGTTAGGCAATCTTCACAAACATCCCATGTAATATGAATAATAAAAGGGAGATAACATAGTTGGCTTACACTCGCCACGTCAATCAAGTACATAAATAACATTACATCATCCAAACACTCATGGCCCGACTACGGCGCCAAAATAAAAGAGAACCCAACATGCGACACGGTCCCAATCACCCCCAACTGGGCACCACTACTGATCATCGGGAAAGGAAACATAGTATCATTGAGAGTCTTCGTCGAACTCCCACTTGAGCTCATACGTGTCTCCTGGAGCGGAATCATCAGGCCCTGTATCTGGTGTAATAGTAATCTGTGAGCCACAGGGACTCAGCAATCTCGCACCCTTGCGATCAAGACTATTTAAGCTTATGGGTATGGCAAGGTGAATATGAGTGGAGCTGCAGCAAGTGACTAGCAAGTATGGTGGCTAACTTATTCGCAAAAGAGAGCGAGAAGAGGAGGCAAAGCACGAGCAAGAAACTAGAGAACAACCTGCGCAAACATTACTCCAACACCGTGTCCACTTCTCGGACTCCGCCGAGAAGAGGCCATCACGGTAACACACTCGGTTGATTCATTTTAATTAAATTAAGGTTCAAGTTATCTACAACCGGACATTAACAAATTCCCATCTGCCCATAACCGCGGGCACGGCTTTCGAAAGTTCAATCCCTGCATGGGAGTCCCAACTTAGCCCATGACAAGCTCTCACGGTCAACGAAGGAATAGACCTCCTCCCAAGACGTTCCGATCAGACTCGGCATCTCGGTTACTCAAGACACTTCGACAGGTTAAAACAAGACCAGCAACACCGCCCGAATGTGCCGACAAATCCCGATAGGAGCTGCACATATCTCTTTCTCAGGGCACACTCAGATGAGACATCCTACGAGTAAAACCAACCCTCAAGTTGCCCCGAGGTGGCCTCGCAGTCTACTCGGTCGGACCAACACTCAGAGGTGCACTGGCCTGGGGGGGTTAAAATAAGATGACCCTTGGGCTCCGGTAACCCAAGGGAAAAAGAGGCTAGGTGGCGAATGGTAAAACCAAGGTTGGGCATTGCTGGAAAAGCTTCAATCAAGGCGAACTATCAAGGGGTTCCCATTATAACCCAACCGCGTAAGGAACGCAAAATCCGGGAACATAACACCGATATGACGGAAACTAGGGCGGCAAGAGTGGAACAAAACACTAGGTGAGAGGCCGAGCCTTCCACCCTTTACCAAGTATATAGATGCCTTAAGATAGCAAGATAATATAATGATATCCCAACAAGTAAAAACAAGATGTTCCAACAAGGAACGACCTCCAATCTTCACCTGCAACTAGCAACGCTATAAGAGGGGCTGAGCAAAGCGGTAACATAGCCAATCAACGGTTTGCTAGGACAATGGTGGGTTAGAGGTTTGACATGGCAATTTGGGAGGCTTGCAATCAAGTGGTAGGCATCGTAGCAATGGCATAGCAAAAGAGCGAGCAAACTAGCATAGCAAAGATAGTAGTGATTTCGAGGGTATGATCATCTTGCCTGCACAGTTGTCAGAGTTGACTGGATCCTCAAAAGCAAACTCAACGGGCTCCTCGTTAGCGAACTCGTCTCCTAGCTCTACCCAAACAAGACAAACAAGCAACAAGGATACAATCAACCACGTGCAAGATCAAGCAACATGATGAAATGATGATATGCTATGCGGGATGCGATGCGGGATGCAAAATGCAAGATATGACAGGAAATGCATGAACCTGGCCTCAACTTGGAATTCCAATGGTTCCACTGGAAAGATGAGGTGAAATCGCTTGAAAACGATATAAAGATCGC